AAATTGACCATCACTCCAACACACAAGATGGCCGCCCCATGTGGACACAAGATGGCCAGCAGGGGAGGGCAGTTGTGAGTGATCAGGCCTACAGGGGAGGGCAGTTGAGACAAGGCATGCAAGGGAGGACAGTTGGGGCAATTAGGTCTGCAGGGGAGAAGTTAGGCGTCGATCAGGCTGGCAGAGGTGTATTTAGGGGATGATCAGGCTGGCAGGCAGAAGCAGTTAGGGGCAATCAGGCAGACAGGCATGTAAGCAGTCCTGGATTGTGAGAGGAATGTCGGACACCCTTGAGGGGTCCCAGATTGGAGAGGGTACAGGCTGGGCTAAGGGACCACACCCCTCATGCACAAATTTTGTGCACCGGGCTTCTAGTCTGTAAATAAGAAGATGGTAAAAATTCTGAGAGTATAAGAGCCCAGGACCCAAGAATTAGTAACAAAAATAATAAATTCTTCTAGGAGTCCCTTAAGCTCCAAAAGGACTCCTGGCCACCCCTAACTGCTCCCCACTGCTGGTCTCATCACCCCTCACTGCCTTTAACTACTCCCCCTGCCAGCCTGGTTGCCCCCAACTGCCTCCTCCCTGCCAGCCTGGTCACCCCTCACAGCCCCCCTGCCAGCCTAATTGCCCCCACTGACCTGGTCACCACCAACTGTCCCCCCTGCTGGAGCCTGGTCACCTCTCACACACCCCCACCTTGAAGGCCTGGTAGCCCCACAAAGCCTGCTGGCCTGTCATCCTTCACTAACGCCCCTGAAACCTGCTTGTTCAGTTGTTTGGTTGTCCCCCACTAACCCCCCTTCAGCCTTGCTGCCCCATGAAGCCTGCTGTTCAGTCGTTTGGTCATCCCTCAGTAACCCCCTACCAACCTGGTTGTAGGCAGCCATCTTGTGAGGGCATGAAGGTTAATTTGCATATTACCTCTCTATTATATAGGATAACTTCAACATTTGGCAGAAAACCACAAGAGTAGACTACCTTCAACCTCAACTGTTGATGGCATTCTGTATTTGACAATGAAACTATGATATCGCTAGTATTCTTAGAACATATCCCAAAGGAATAAAATAAAAGAACGTAGTGCAAAACCACTTTTTAAAAGTCATAATATATATACCACATAGAATTTTTCAACAATGGTTACACAGACTGGAGGTTCATAATACTAATAGCTTAGAAATTCAAAACGAAGAATAGAGACATTTGAGTTTTGTAGATAACATTTTATCAGCCAGTATATTTATTAGTGAGCAGAAGCAACTGAAAAATGTTCTGTGACATTACTTGCTGAGCAGGAAACTATAATGCCACCCTGAAGTTCATATACCACACATGAAGCCATAGTTTTCACGATAAAGGAATAATTCATGAAACCAAGTTTGTTAAAAAAAAAATAACTATGAATAGGAAAAGTAACATCTGAATCATTGTAAGGGTGTGTGTGTGTGATTACTTAAAAAACACAACTAAAAAGAACATCTATTTACTTTTCCTTACCTAACTAAGCACTCAGTCTATAATCAGCTGGCTAGCATGATGTATTATTAAGGCACTATTTTTACAGTACCCATTTTTATGGGTTTTGTATGTTACACAAACAGTGGTTTTTTTTTAAAAAAATGCATGAATTGGTTACTCTCTTTTATGTAACCAATTCCTATATTAAGTCAAACCAAAGCTCTGGAGCTTGGCATAATGGTAATGCAAGTAGAAACAAAAAGAGTTCAATCTTCTAAGTGTCTTTCAATTGTACTCTATTCCTTCTATCATATTAAAGTCTCATTTATCAAAATATGATCATTGCAGTTTGCTTCAAATTGTAAAAAAAAAAAAAAAAAGAAAAAAAAATCTTTATTTTAATGTCCCTGAGTACTTTAGAAGAAATACATACAAATATTATTTTATAATAATATTGGAGTGTAAAATTATGTTTTTTTAAAAATCCCTTATTTGTGCAGAGGGTCACAGATATCAAACATACCACCACTCAGAAAAAGGCAGGGTTATTTTAAAATTCCACTATGACCCTTCAGAATCCTAGATTTAAGATAATTTTACCATTAATTGTCAATTGAAAGTATATCACCCAAACAGTACAACATACAAATTGTCAAAAGTTATGAGCAGATAATTCACAGACTCAAGGAAAAGGCAAACTTATAGACGAAAAGATGCTTGACCTCACTCATCAGAAAAAGAGAGAATAAAACTGAAAACCATTTTTTAAAATACATTATTTTGGGTATGTTTTAAATGTTTGAATCTGGAATTCTTAGGACGTGGGTTCAATGTGCACTATGTCATGGGATCCAGTGGCAAAATGAAATACTGCAGTCAAACTGAGTAGTTTTAAAGAAGAGAATAGTTTTAAAGAGAAGAATTTTTAAAAGGAGAGTGCAACAAACCAATAGAAGAGAAAGGAATGGAGTTCAGAGAATGCTTAGCAGGGACCCAAATCTGGAGAGGTAGACCCTAGCTTAAGCATGTCACACTTGTGGCCCCTGCCCATTCTCATGCTACCCTCAGGCCAGTAAGACTAAAGTAGAAAAAATAGCCTGCTATGCATGAGGACTGACAATTCCAATGATTATTTCAAGCTTTCAGAACACCTGACTCCTCTACCACCAGCATCTGCTGTCAGGACTGAAGAAGCTGAAAATGCCATACTGAATTCCACAATGACAGAAGTCAGTAACTCATACTTAGGTAGAGAGCAAGTCCCATCCCAGCAGAAGCCAACAGTGGGAAGAGGATGACTGTGAACCAGATAGTCCCTTCCACAATGACAAAGAAGCTCCCTGGAATCCAGTCACAACCAAGTGGAGATGGAAGAGGGGACAGACAAATATAAAGTGCCATCTAAAGAGAGACTAGGGGACTAGCAGAATAAAGGCCAGGAGTTGCATAAATCTGAGCTAGAAAACATAAACAGAGTTAAAAACAGGCACCACCCTTCCTGCAATTCCCAGCATGTGCTCAAGAGAGGCTGTGTGGTGTCAGAAATCCAGTAAAGGTGTTCCATCCACAGACCCATATATGGTCCATCTGCAACCTTGCAGGGGAGGGCAGTTGGGAGGGACCAGGCCAGCAGGGGAATGCAGTTGCGGGGGACCAGGCCTGCAAGGGAGGGCAGTGGGGGGGACTAGGCTGGCAAGGGAGGGCAGTTAAGGGCAATCAGGCCGGCAGGGGAGTGGTTAGGGGTGATTAGACTGGCAGGCAGAAGCGGTTAGGGGCAATCAGGCAGGCAGGCAGGTGAGTGGTTGGGAGCCAGCAGTTTAGATTGTGAGAGGGATGACCGACTGCCCATTTAGGCCCAATCTCCTACCAGGATTGGGCCTAAACGGGCAGTCAGACATCCCTCAAGGGGCTCCAGATTGGAGAGGATGCAGGCTTGGCTGAGAGACACCCCTTCCCCTCCCCACCCCCATGCACAAATTTCTAGTAGTTAATAATTCTTCATCTCAAACTTCTCCTGGTTAATGTATGGTTTCTATATCCTAAATGGACCCAGAAGGCTACACTACCTCCTAGTGTCAAAATCAAAGCCTGTTAACATTTCCTCTTTCTCTCATGATGCCTCCTTCAAAATCAGCATTTCCTCTCCATCCCCAGCCCCTAATATCTCTCTCCTATAGAGATAGTCTATTGAGCTCTACTCTATAACTCTCCCCACAAACACCAGCCTATCTGTCAACCTCAGAAGACAAACCTATCACATCAAATGTGAATGTCTACATTGAGATTTAAAGGCCTCTGAGACCTGGCCTTACCTGGCCAGTCCAGCCCCACCACACACTGGGAATACTTCCCTCCAGTTAAGAATCATGCAGTTGTCTAGCCCTCACCTTGCCTAATCCTAGTGTCATGTCTGTGTTCAGGTTCTCTTCTTCCCCTTCTTTTCCCACTAATCCCAGAGCCTTCTGGAGCCAGCCCTAAGGGCCCATCATCCATTAGTCCTTCTGGAGTGACATTCCTACTTGTCTGCGTTGCCTTCACTATACAGTTAACACCGTGGTGCATCCTTTCGACTTAATACACCCCCCTTCCCATTAACCCAGTGATACTCTTTCTCTCATTCATGTGGTCATGGCTAATTACCCTAAAATATTTAATGCTTTATATTTCTTATAGTGCTTTACAAATCTTGGAAGAGTGATAAGTTCAATATTAAATGAAGGGAAAACTGGATTAAGTCAAACAGTTTTAACCCTTATATGGGTTGCCACATGGAGCCCAAGCAAGATTTCATCCCAACCCTTTACAACTGTATGTGGCAGCACTGGAAGACTGCTATGCTAAGTGAAATAAGCCAATCTGAGAAAGACAAATATGACATGATCTCACTTATTTGTGGAATCTAATAAATAAAATGAATTGACCAGCAAAATAAGACCTAAAGCATGGAGGCCTGAAACAGAATAACATACCTCAATGTGGGGGTGAGGGGATGAGAAGAGATAAACCAAAGAATTTCTATACTTAATATGCACAGCCCATGAACACAAGCAATGGGGTGGTGAAGACCTGGGTGAAGGTGGGGGGCGGGGGGAGTAGGAGCTGGGCAGAAGAAAGTAAAGGCAGATGGGGTGGGAATGGGAGACATCTGCAATAATGTCAACAATTTATATTTATTAAATAAATAAAAATGCTGACTTTTTAAATTCAAATTATATTTTAAAACTTTTAAAGAAAGTTGTACCTTGAACTTTATTTTAGTAGAATTTTATTCCATTGTATATCACTTGAATGCTAGCCAATATCTCACAGCTTGGGCGTTAAATGTGACAAATTTCATGCTGTAGTAGCTATTGTGATGGAATTAATTTCATAACCAATATTAATTGAAAGTCTAAGTCTATGCCAGGCGCTGGACCTAGGTATAAAAATGGGATAAAAATGTGGCACCTGACTCACAAGGCGTATAACACAGTAAAGAAACCTATATTTTAGAAGAAACATTTTCTTGATGTTATACTTACTGATAAAGTTATACTTACTGATAAACTTGTTTTGCATAGTCTCCAGCAGAGCTTGATGAGCATCCTCAGCCTGTAAAGCATGTGAACATTCTCTAGCCAGTATGGTGCGTACAAGATGCTCCCCACATCCTAAAAAAGTGAAGAAAACCGAAAAACGTTGAGGAAAAGCAGTAGTAAGCATCTGTCTTGTGTTACGAGAATTAAAACACCCTTATGCACTTCTTAAGAAGTAGTTGTGCTGGAGAATAATTCAGTGATGGATGAAATGATTTCTATGAATAATCTAGTAATTTTACTAATGAGATTTGGCAGAAACTAGAGAAACACATGACTGTCTAATCTCAAAAGGAAACAAACACAAAAAACAACAAAACTCTTTTTCATAGGAATGATTTATACAATACAAGAATTTAGATTCTCTACCTAGGAATCTCCTAGGGTCTGTTACATTTCCCTGGTTGGGTAACTATAGAAAAAAGGGCTCTATAATTTATTTATCTGTTTACATTCCATGGACCCTGGTCTCCCATTTCCCTCTAGTTCCCCACACACCTGGAAGCCAGGGGGAATACGAATCAGCCAGGGCCAATCTGAATATCCCCCTCCCAACTTTTCACTGAAATGTTCAGCACACATCAACAGTTGTAAGTGGACTTAATAAAACAGCACCTTTCTCATCTTCTTTTGCGATTTATATAGCTTTCAAGGGCGAATACTCTCTGTAGTTCTAAAGAAAGAATGTGTTTTAACCCCGAGTTGACTTTGACCCTTCAGACCCACTTAAAAAAGGGTAGGCATGGTGGTGAAGGGCACTGCCTAGAATCTGATTACGTCTCTACCTGGTAAAAGTAGAAACTGCCTACAAAAGTAAAGATGAAGAAAATTTAATTTATGAGCTGGCAAGTTCAAATAAAAGATTGCTAAACAAAGAGCCTGATTAGAAAAAAATGTAAAAAATCTACTTTGACAGACATTGGAGAGGTAAGCTTTTTAAAAATATAGTAAACTAGAGGCCTGGTGCATGAAAATTCATGCACTGTAAGGGGGGGGGGGGTCCTTCAGTCCAGCCTGCCCCTCTCACAGTCCAGGAGCCCTCAGGGGCAGGAGATGACCCAGCGATCAGGGGAAGGCAACTCCCTTATCACATCTCTCCTGATGCCACTGCCAGGAGCGCAAGCCTTGGCTGGCCCTGGTTATCTGAGCCTTGGGCAGCCCTGGGCAGCTGGGCAGCTGCCATCTGAGGCTTGCTTGCATCTCAGAATGGCCCTGGATGGCTTGGGGGCTGAGGGAACTGAGGGACTCTGGAGGCAGGCACCCCAGTGGGGCTGAGGGGACTGAGCACCACCATCTTGTGGCTGTGGGTGCCATCATCCTTGAGGGCAGGGCAGTCAATTAGCTTATTCCCTCATTATTGGCTGTGGACACCACCATCTTTGCAATGGCATGAGGGTCAATTAATATATTCCCTCTTTATTAGATAGGATGATATTTGAAATGCTTTTAATATATAATATAAAATCGATTTCACTATTAAAATTACAGAGTTCTCTTATTCAAGTGAGAAGAGTAGATACAAAAGATCTTTATAAGATTTTCCTTAAAAACTTTTTTCCATTCAAAATGATTCCTCTCCCCAATGGAACAAATGTTCCCATCTCTTAAAAAAAAAAAAAAAATCCTGTCAAATGTGTTCCATTAGTTCATTAGAAAATCAAGTCCTCCATTAATTTACATAACAGGGGAAGGATATCAAATGATCTAAGCATTTACTGAGACTAAAATATGAATCAACTCTGACGTCAAATACAATCACAGCAAAAAATAAGCATCTCCAGGATCCACTCAGTTTCCCCCATGAACGAGGGACACAGTAACTTTGTTTCATATCATTAATTTGCACATAGATATGTGCATGCACACACACTACACTGGTAAATGGAGAAGGCTGGTAATTAGCAGTCCCAAAGAAATGTGGGCTGAGATTATTAAATGAAATAACCTCTTTTAATTAATGCTTTAAAATTCTTAAATTCATGAAACTTAACCAACACAAACATATGACACACAGGTCTCTGTTCAGCTAGTATGTATTATGGCAGACATTAGGCACTATCAACAAATCTCGCTAAAGATACAAGCTGTAATTATTGAACCTTGCTGGTACCTTTCATTTCAGAAGTATTTTCATATAAAGACGACTCCTTTCTCTCTCTCACCCTCTTCCCCCCTCCATACATACATGCACATATAAACACACATGTGTATATTACATATATACCTACAATATAGGCTCATTGCCAAAAGTACAAACTGTTAAAATAAAAAAGGGTTTTTTTGTTTGTTTGTTTGTTTTAAATATGATATTTTGCCTGAAAGAATTCCCATATACTTTGGGTAAAGTGGAAATGTAAATACTCTTTAAGATTTAAATATGCCTTTGTGAATATCTATACTTACGGGAAGACCTAGGTATGCAATTTAATATGTAACTTTGTAGGCATGATTATAGTGATCCCTGTTTGGTTAAATTTTTGCAGTATTATTTTTATAATCAGGAAAAAATGACAATAAAGCAAATAGAAACCATTTTTGACATTTACTATACTAAGCTCATGAAACTCCATAAATTTTAATTCCCTTTGTGTACATATCTGATGTTGAGCAGTGAAATGTTATACTTTAGAACAATAATAATTGTTAGGAAATTGGCATATTATAAGCTAAATGAGTGTTCAGAAGGTTATGTACACACACCTCGAGTCAAACAGCTAAACCACATGAAGTTAACATTACATCAAAAATACACAATATATGTCAGAGAGACTTTTCCCTCTGTTGTTCTACAGGAATAGCAAGCAGGGTTTCCATGTGATTGACTTTACCAAGGAACTTTAAAAATTATGACTACTATTCTGACATATATCACCTCCAACATAAGAGCCTTGACACCAAAAGCTTGCTCTCCTGCAGGTTCCAATCAAAGAAAAATTTGACTTCTGTGGTTTTACCCACAGAATTCCAAGGTTTCTTAAACATGATGCCATGTAGCTGAAGTGTAATTCAAAGGAAAACAGTTTCACTCTTTATTAAAAATATTAGAAATAAGCCTTTCATTACATCCTCCTTTTGTCCTAACTCATGCAAGTTTCTCAGATCTCAGCAGGAAATATCCTATATAATAGAGGCGATATGCAAATTAACCCTCACAAGATGGCTGCCTACAACCAGGCTGGCAGGGGGGTTAGTGAGGGATGATCAAACGACTGAACAGCAGGCTGCGTGGTGCGACCAGACCAGCGGGGGAGAGGGGGCAGTTGGGGTTGACCAGGCTGGCAGTGGGGAGCAGTTAGGGGCGACCAGGCCGGCGGGGGGGGGGGGGGCTGTAAGTGGGGGACAGTTGAGGGCAACAGGCAGGCAGAGGGGCCTGTTGGGGGTTATTAGGCCAGCCAGGAGGGGGGGATGGAGGGGAGGCCAGTAAGGGGCCAGTAGGCCGGCAGAGGAGGTAGTTGGGGGCAACCAGGCCAGCAGGGGGGAGCTGTTAGGAGCAATCAGGTGAGGGGTGGTCAGGCTGGCAGACAAGGACAGTTAAGGGCAACTAGGCAGGCAGGCAGGTGAGCTATTAGGAGCCAGCGGTCCAGGATTGTGAGAGGGATGCCCAACTGCCGGTTTAGGCCTGATCCCCAGGAGGGTACAGGCTGGGCTGAGAAGCCCCCACCCACTCCACCCCCAATGCATGAATTCTGTGCACTGGTCCTCTAGTGGATTATATATAGAATGAAGACCTAATACCTAACCTAGAAGAAAAGTGAAATAAATAACGAGTTATTTAGCATCAATAAAAATGACAACTGAATGGACTGAAACACATAGTGAATTCATAACTCACGTTTTAAAAAGCTTTTGTTGCCCTGGCGAGGGGACTCAGTTGGTTGGAGCATCATCCCATTCACCAAAAGGTCATGGATTGGATTCTTGGTTAGGGCACATACCCAGTTTGTGGGATCAATCCCCAGTCAAGAAGCATACAGGAGGCAACTAATTGATGTTTTTCTCTCTCCCTCTCCTTTCTTCTCTCTCTAGAATCAATGAAAAATATCCTCAGGTGCACAAAAAAAGATACAACCAGAGACTATATATCTCTTGACAAAATTACACGTTTACAGTGTTCCCCCTTCCCCCCACTGAAAATATTACTAAATCTGATGAAAGCTCCAAATTCAATGATCACTTTGCAGAAATAAAGGGCCTGCTCATTAACAGGCATTCTGAAGAAGAGAAAGAATGGGAAGGAGGCACTAATATCTGAAGAAACGATGGAGAAAATTTCCAGATTTTTAACCAACTTCTATAATAAAAATCTACTTTTCTCCAACAGATTTTTGCCTGACTTCAATGTTATATTTCTATATTGACAATACTTTCTCTTAAGGCAAGATAGCAAAGAGCAAGGGAGGTCTCCCATAATGGGGTTTGGTCCCATGCACGTCCCTTCCCCAAATCTGAGATCATGAGTTGGTAAGAGTGAACGTGAACTAATGTTACACATGTTATATTTCATCTGACCTTAATCACACACTTAGTATTTTTATTTCATCTCTAGTGACAAATGTATCCTTCAAATTAAAATAATTAAAAGTAGGTAATGCAATAGCCCAATAAAACCATGTTGTCAAATCATGTTTTAGTCCCAAAAGGTAAGTAACAAACTAAAAAGTGATTGCAGTGAGGGTAGAGAAACACGAAAATTTACCAACTCTTGGCTGACATTAAACATAGAATTTCATTGCATTTCAAGATAAATGTTAATCTCTTTTATTTTTGTCTCGTTTTGTGGTGGCAGCAGTGGTGCTGTGAGCCAAATGATTACAAAATGGAAATTTAAAGGTCCCTAATACCACATTTTTCATGAAGTATCTACATATAGGGTTTTAAGGTAGTATTTAAATGGTAGAGGATTTTGATATAATTCCTACATGAACACACATGAGTTCAGTTCTTCACTGTGTCCCCATGGTAATCAAACCTGGGACCTATTATACACAAGAAAATGAGATTAGAATTTTGAAGTACAACTCCTAAACTCACAGATTTTTCCCTCCTTTGAGAGACTATTTCTTCTAAACCACACT